TTTCAAACCGTCAAGATTTTTTTTTTCTGAAAAAGAGAAACTTAAGCCATTGCATCAAAAACTTCAACAAAACAGACAACTGTGTCAAGGTGGCAGAATTTCAGTCTTTCTTACCCGAGACTGAAACAAATTCCCTGTAAAATGGAATCCCCCAACAATGACTTCTGAGGTCATCAGAATACATAAAGTCCTTTCAAAGATTTCGTTTCCCACAGTCCTCAGGCAGCTTTTTCTTTCCTTCTGGATACATAATAAGGAGAAAGGAGGTCTGTGTCTGTTCTTAACGATGGAAGAAAAAGTACTGATGTTAAGAAAGAGATGTCTTTGTGCATTGGTTTAACGCAATGGCTTTTAGTGGAGGTGGCTTCTGAGAAGCTCCTCGAAGATTCTACTATGCCCAGTAGAGCCAATCCCTGAAGGCTCTGACGATAGACGTGTTGCTGACCCAATTAGAGAAGCTGGTAATGCCTCTGCAATGACATTATTTAAGAAAGAAATAAAACACGTGCAGTCCTTCCTCTTCTTCCAAGGGGTGGGGAGGAACCAGGGCCATTCCAGTGCTGCAAGTGACTGCCAGGGCCATGTGGCACGCCATCTCAGCACAGCTTGCAGTGAACTTCACCTGCCCTTAGCTGCTCTTAGCCAGCCATGCTGCAAGCAGAAGGGCAGAGAGGGCAGCACAGCTTCCCTTTGTTGGTGCCCTGCATGAAGAGAGGCGCGGAATGGTGCCAGCACTGCCTGCACGGTGCCAGCATGGCCAATTCCCCTATAATGAGCCCAGATGAGACAAGATCAGCCTTCCAGTGCTGCAAAACCCTGTAAGAACTTTTCAATTGGTAGGACTTGAGAACAAACAAACCTATGGACAACCACTTTCTTCTGAGTCAGAGAAAAGGAAAAGGTGAGGCCACATGAGGAGAACAACACGGTGACACTAAGGTCAGTGAAAGAAGGGAGGGAGGGAGGGGAAGTGCCCTAAACGTTGGAGCTGAGATTCTTCTGCAAGCTGTGGTGAGGACTGTAACACAACAGTTTCCCTGTAACTCATGAAGTGTGTGGGGGATGCAGAGATCCACTTGCAGCCTGTGAGAAAAGGTGCTCACACTGGAGCAGGTGGATGCTGAAAAGCTGTAATCCAGTAGGAAATCTGAACAGAGAGCAGACCCTTGCTTCCAGAAATAGAGAAAGAGGACCGTTGCTTCCAAACTAGAGCAGCTTTTCCTTAAAAGACTGCATGTCCTAGGGTACAATGAAAAAAATGTGTATTCTATCACCATCTGTTAAAATGTGGGAGGGGTGGTGATCCTTATGTCTGTGGGAGATATCCTCTGCTGATGTACCATCTGATAAGATCAGGGGATGATCACCGTTATCTTTTCACAACCCATCCTTCCTCCAGAAGATAGATTCCGTTAATGGGCCATTAAGTCCTATTGTGTGACTGATAAGATTACATCATCCCTTTGGGAGATGCCCCAACCAGGGGCAGGAGCCAAGCCTTTCCTACCTAGATAAAAAACTG